CGTTAATCCCGGCTTTTTCCGCCCGTTCCCGGCCCGGTTTCTCCCACCCCCTCCCGCCCTCCCCCCGCTGCCGCCGCCGGGCCCCGACCGCGCGCGCGCAGCGCCGCACGTCGGCCACACCCCCCGACGTCAGCGTGGCCACGCCCACAGCGCTCAGACCACGCCCCCAAGAGAGCAGTCAGTCCCCACTATGGGCTTGATTTGCATGGCCACGCCCACACCGCTGGAGCGGCGGGTTTATTTGCATAACCACGCCCCTGTCTGTCTGACCACGCCCCCGGTCCCGGGCCGCGCCCCCGGAAGTGGCGGGGAGGCGGCGGGAGCACGTGGAGCGGGGAACGGGCGGCCGCGGAAAGAGCACCGGGAATCGGGGGCACAGCGCAGCCGGCCCCTGCTCCGGGCATGGCCGCAACGTGCGGGACAGGCGATGGAAGTCCCGAGTATCCCGGGAGCGACAGGAGGGGTTGGTGGCGGGGATTGGGCATGAGGAGCCCTGGAACATCCCGGGGCAGAGCACATCGGCAGGGATGGCTCCTTGCGGGAGCCCTGGCTCGGTGCAGGGGACAGGGGTGACGGATTCCCGGGAACAGGAGTGGGCCAGGCACTGAGAGCACTGGGCACGTGCCATGGCAAGGGACAAGCGGTACCCAAAGGCCAAGGGACCTTTCCTTTTCCCCCGGCAATGTCCCTGCTCTCCTGCCAGCACGGCGCTGGCACGGGGTGGGATCCTGCGAAACACATTCCCTGCTCCTCCATCTCGAGGGGCTGAGCACCCCAAGAGCCTTTCCAGGGCCCTTCTTGATGCTGTCAGACTCTGGCGTTTACAAACAGTCCCTGCTGCCTGCAGCTTTCCCCAGTAAAACACATCCCCTTCTCCCAGGGACCTGCAGCCCTATCCCACCACCCCAGCCTCGGTGGGATCTCCCCTGCCTACAACTCCCTCTGAGCCCACAGGAACAGAGAGCCGAGTCCTCAGGTGGGATCTCCCCTGCCTGCAGCTCCCTCTGAGCCCACAGGAACAGAGAGCTGAGTCCTCAGGTGGGATCTCCTCTGCCTGCAGCTCCCTCTGAGCCCACAGGAACAGAGAGCTGAGTCCTCAGGTGGGATCTCCTCTGCCTGCAGCTCCCCCCGAGCCCACAGCAATGGAGAGCTGAGCCCTCAGGCCAAGTCCAGCCGATTTCTCAGCGTTGCCCAAGCACACAAACACTGCCGGTGGCAGCGGCCCTGAGCACGCAGCTGGTGGCTGATCCCAGGCAAGGCCACCCTGTGCTGCCACCGATGGCACCATTCCTGACATCCACTCTGCGGCTGTCCTCTCGCAGCGTCAGCGCGATCCTCCATCGCGGCCGTGCCGGTGGCCTTGGCTCAGCACAGCTGCCCCGTGGTGTCCTGCTGGCCAAGGCCACAGCTGGACATTGGGAACCCGGGTTTGCTTCTCTCTGTGACTCAGCAGCCCCCATGTGTCTCCTGTCCCCGTCCAGGCTCACACCGCTGTGCAGTACAGGCAGAGTGGCTCATTCCAAGGGCTGGGACCCCAGGGAACAGCCCCTGCAGGGGGACATGGGGGTACAGCCGAGGCTGCTCAGCCCCGACCTTGGACCCAAGCACTGCTGAAGGGCAGAAAGAACAGGGCAAAAGGCAGCACTGATGTCACAGCCATGGTGTCACAGCCATGGTGTCACACAGCCATGGTGTCATACAGCCGTGGTGTCACACAGCCATGGTGTCACACAGTGATACTGTCACACAGCCATGGTGTCACAGCGATGGTGTCACACAGCCATGGTGTCATACAGCCGTGGTGTCACACAGCCGTGGTGTCACACAGTGATACTGTCACACAGCCATGGTGTCACACAGCCATGGTGTCATACAGCCGTGGTGTCACACAGCCATGGTGTCACACAGTGATACTGTCACACAGCCATGGTGTCACACAGCCATGGTGTCACACAGGGATGGTGTCACACAGCCATGGTGTCACAGCGATGGTGTCACACAGCCATGGTGTCACACAGCCATGATGTCACACAGCCGTGGTGTCACACAGCCATGGTGTCACACAGTGATGGTGTCACACATTGATGGTGTCACACAGCCATGGTGTCACACAGGGATGGTGTCACACAGCCATGGTGTCACACATTGATGGTGTCACACAGCCATGATGTCACAGCGATGGTGTCACACAGCCATGGTGTCACACAGCGATGGTGTCACACAGTGATGGTGTCACACAGGGATGGTGTCACACAGGGATGGTGTCACACAGTGATGGTGTCACACAGTGATGGTGTCACACAGCGATGGTGTCACACATTGATAGTGTCACACAGCCATGGTGTCACACAGTGATACTGTCACACAGGGATGGTGTCACACTGATGGTGTCACACAGTGATACTGTCACACAGCCATGGTGTCACATAGTGATGTCACACAGTGATGGTGTCACACATTGATGGTGTCACACAACGATGGTGTCATACAGTGATGTCACACAGTGATACTGTCATACAGGGATGGTGTCACACAGCCATGGTGTCACACAGCCATGGTGTCACACAGTGATGGTGTCACACAGCGATGGTGTCACACAGCCATGGTGTCACACAACAATGGTGTCACACAGTGATGTCACACATTGATGGTGTCACACAGCGATGGTGTCACACACTGATACTGTCACACAGCCATGGTGTCACACAGCCATGGTGTCACACAGGGATGGTGTCACACAGCCATGGTGTCACAGCGATGGTGTCACACAGGGATGGTGTCACACAGCCATGGTGTCACACAGGGATGGTGTCACACAGCCATGGTGTCACACAGCCATGGTGTCACACATTGATGGTGTCACACATTGATGGTGTCACACAGCCATGGTGTCACACAGCGATGGTGTCACACAGCGATGGTGTCACACACTGATACTGTCACACAGCCATGGTGTCACACAGCCATGGTGTCACACATTGATACTATCACACATTGATACTGTCACACAACGATGGTGTCACACAGTGATATCACACAGTGATACTGTCACACAGCCATGGTGTCAGACAGTGATGTCACATACTGATAGTGTAACACAGTGATGGTGTCACACACTGATGGTGTCACACATTGATGGTGTCACACATTGATAACTGTCACACAGCCATGGTGTCACACAGCCATGGTGTCACACAGTGACCCCACCGGTTCCAAGACAGGGAGGCAGAGCCTGGGAGCCAGGCTTTGGGATGTCTCCAAGGACAATCACACAGATGTCACTCCAATTATACACCACTCTGTGCCCGTCACAGCCGCAGTGCCAGCAGCTCCCAGTCCTCTCATCCTCCCTTTGTAACACTGCATTGACCCCTGGGCACTGCCACCACCCCTGGGACAGCAGCACTGGCACTGGGCACTGCCACTTCCACCCAGGAGACACCAGGGACGAGTGGTCCTGTAGCACACCCATGGCCTGACTCCCTCCACAACCCCTGGAGCCTGCCTGGCTTCCCTGGGCTGCCACTGATCAGCAGCCACAGCCCTGAGCATGCCAGGGCTCCCAAAACTCTGAGTCAAAGGAACGTTCCCAAACCAGCACAGGTAGTCACTGAGCCTACACAGAGAATCAGGAATGTGTGCCATTGCCAGGGCTGCTATCCCAGCTCTGGAGCTGCAAGGACCTGGCAGGTTGCTCTGGACTCTCACAAGCACATGGGATGTTTTTATCTCCCAGGATAAATGGGATATCCCAGCAGGAGCGTGGACCAGGAGACCTGGAAATCCCTGCTCCCAGGATTGCCCTTACAGCCACGAGGAAGGGCTCTCCTCATCCAGGCTTGGGAGATGCCCATTCCTGATCCCTGCCAAGGAGCAGGTAGGGAGCAGTTCCCACCCAGAGATCTGCAGTTACTTAATCACAGTACCCTTATCTCACTAAAATTACAGATTATTATTTTAAAAAAATGCTTCAGCACAGGCAGGTCATGTAGCTGCTAGTCAGGGTTTGGGGTGAGGAAGCAGTGGCTGAGACAGGCTCCCAGAGGGGTTTACCCAAGCACAAAGCCCAGGATGAGCTCGGGCAGCCTCAGGGGATAAACCAGGGCAGCGCCCAGGTCTCAGCACAGCCAGGCGAGGGGCTGTACACGGAGCCATGCATTTACCAACTGCTGGGAGCTGGCCAATCTCTGCCAGCCAGAGCTGGGAGCAGGGAGAGGATTGCGCCAGGCTCCCTGCTCCACCCGCTGTGTGTCATCTCCCCCCTCCCCGTGCGTGCAGCTGCCGTGCCCAACACAGCGGAAAAGGTGAGGCCGGGCACACCCAGCCCGCGGGGCACCTCCCGCCTGTATTTACAGGCTCTAAGGGCCATTCCTGCAAGTTCTTGCTCCCTTTCTTGGCCTCAGTGTGTTGGGAACGGGGTGGGAGGACAAAGGGATGCAGCAGGCTCCAGGCAGGCTGATCCCACCTTGGCACCGCTTCCAGGCGAGTGTGAGCTTCCCAGCCGGGTCAGTTTGCTGTGCTGCTGCTGAGAGGTGCTGCTGGTGCTCTGCAGAGGCAGGGACTGCCACTCCCGGGCTCTGAGCTGCCACAGTGTCACAGGATGGCATTGTCACAGGATGGCATTGTCACAGGATGGCATTGTCACAGGACCGCAGTGCCACAGGACCGCAGTGCCACAGGACCGCAGTGCCACAGGATGGCATTGTCACAGGATGGCAGTGCCACAGGACCGCAGTGTCACAGGATGGTAGTGCCACAGGATGGCAGTGTCACAGGATGGCAGTGCCACAGGACCGCAGTGTCACAGGATGGTAGTGCCACAGGACGGCAGTGTCACAGGATGGCAGTGCCACAGGATGGCAGTGCCACAGGACCGCAGTGTCACAGGATGGTAGTGCCACAGGACCGCAGTGTCACAGGATGGCACTGTCACGGGATGGCATTGTCACGGGATGGCAGTGCCACGGGATGGCAGTGCCACGGGATGGCAGTGTCACAGGACCGCAGTGTCACAGGACCGCAGTGTCACAGGATCGCAGTGCCACAGGACCGCAGTGTCACAGGACCGCAGTGCCACAGGATGGCAGTGCCACAGGATGGCAGTGCCACAGGATGGCAGTGCCACAGGATGGCAGTGCCACAGGATGGCAGTGCCACAGGATGGCAGTGCCACAGGATGGCAGTGCCACAGGATGGCAGTGCCACAGGATGGCAGTGCCACAGGATGGCAGTGCCACAGGATGGCAGTGCCACAGGATGGCACTGTCACAGGACCGCAGCCGACAGCCCCCGTGCGAAAAAGGTGACGTTCCTGTCCTGGATCTTGTACTGGTAGATCTGGACCAGGTCCTGCTCCCCCGCCTGCCGCAAGGACAATCTCTTGATTATCTTAATCTGCAAAGGAAAAGGAATAGGAACACTGTTCCTCTGGCTGCCCCAGAAGCCTCTGGCTGGCCTGCAGGGAAAGGGGGTCACTCATAAATAATGCATCAGCAGCTGCCAGTCCCTGTGCCTTCGGTGGCAGCCCCTGATCAGGGATCACACAAGTGCCAGCACCCTCCCAGCCCCGCAGAGATCACCACAGGCCAGGCTCAGATCCACTGCTTGGGGAAACTTCCCAGGAAAGTTCTCCCTCAGCCTGGGGTGGGAGAAGCCTGCACTGCAGCTGCTGTATAAACCCTGGAAAGCTTCCAGAGGCGGGGAGTCCCAGGTGGCAGGATGTGCCTGAATATCTCCACAGAGGGTGAGTGACAGCTGGGTGCTCCAGCAGATCCCGGTGCCCACAGGATTACTCCTTAACCACACTGCAGCCTGGGCTGTCTCCCACAGCCCCGGGGAGTGGTGCAGGTGACAGGGACACGTGCCACCTGTCCACGCTCTGCTGCGCCTCACCTGCCCGTGAACATCCTTGCAGAAGCCGGTGGCCAGCCCCTCTGCCCACAGGACGAGGTCGCTGTGATGACACAGGGAGTTCACAAGCAGTTCATTCTCCTCGTCTTCCGAACCCTCGTTGCTGTGAACCAGCACCACGATGTTCCCCTGGAACGGGAGCAGCAGGCAGGGATGAGCCCCTGGCTGGGCCTAATCCCTTAGGGGAAGGACTGGGGGGTGGTGAGCTTTCACAAACATCCCATCTAAGCTCCAGCTTGGTCTGAATTCCACTGGGAAAATAACCAGCTAATGGAGAGACTGGACATGCCCCAGCCAGAATCCCCCCATCCTCTGGCTGATCCCCAGCATGGGCAGCAGGGGAGGTGGGGATTCTGCCCCACTCAGGTGAGACCACCCTGCAGAGCTGCCTCCAGCTCTGGGGCCCAAATCAGAGGTGTCCCTGCCCACAGCAGACGTGATCTTTACGGTGCCTTCCAACACAGGCCATTCCATGATACATCAACACTGAAGAGCTCACTGCACATTGTGTACACACACACACACACACATATATGAAATGTGCAGTCTAAAAATACCTCCAGCCTCTGTAAGGAGACAGTGGCTGAACCAGTCTGTCAGGCTGGGCAGATGGCACTGACTGAATTCAGAGCAGGTAAATAAAGAGGTGGCCAAAGAGCTGCAGCAATGCTCACACCCTCACACCTCTGACAGGGAGCAAACACCTCCCCGACTCACTGACTCTATTAACATCCACCTCAAGAGACTCTGCCTCAGCCCATACAAGTCACCAGTGACTTAAAATAACACGAATTCTCAATCAATTAAAATGTACTTTAAAGCATCAGAACACCTCAGACAGAAATAGCGAAGTGTTAGTGTGATTTGCCATCTTTTTTAGCTCTTTGGAGGTAAATATTCTCTGCAAGCAGATCATCCCCTGTCAGCACATACAGCCCAACACCCTGCGCCATGTGAAGCGCAGGGTCACAACACCCAACAGCATCAGCTCATTCCTCGCTCCTGCAGGGAAGTGCCCAGGGAGGGGACACCACCTATGATGGCAGTTTGGGTGTGACTGTCAGCACTTCTGGCTGTGGCGCTCTCAGGAGTCCCCACATCGCTGGGAGATCGCTGCAGATCATCACCCCCACCTTGGGGACCACACGCTGGAGGGTGGTGGGAGCTGGACTGGGGGGCCCCATTTCTGTCCCCTGTGAGACTCACCAGCCCCTCATATGACCCATTTCCACCCCTGCCCTCCCACTCAGGGGTGTGAGTCAGGATCTCTGGAGAGACAGGAGCTCCAAAACCCACTATTTTATACCTCAAATCCGTGTTCATACATCAGAGACACATCAGAGACTCTGGGTAGCATCTCCCAGGAATCCAGCTGAACAGGAGCTTGCTCTCAGGGACCCACGCAACTCCCAAGAGTGGCCCCAGGGCAATGCCCTGAACTCCTTGGACAACCACAGCCTTTCCAAAAGCTCATCACGGTCAGAAGGAAAGAGGAAATAAAGGCAGGCTTTGCTCTGGAGGCTCTGTGCACAGCCAGAGCCCCGGGGGAGCAGTACCTTCAGCTGGCAGCACACGGACATGCGGCAGTAGTGGATGAAGTCCAGCACGGCCACCGGTGCAGCCCCCAGGCTCAGCAGGACACTGAGGTCATCCACCAGCAGCACGGGGCCTTTCCAGGAATCACCGTCACTGGGAGCCAGGGACACTCGGACAAAGTCAAACAAGGCTCGGAGGTCAGAGGTGCTCCCGCTGGAGGACATGAAGGAGGTGTCAGGGGCTTGGCACCGCGTGTCCCCCTCCTCACCCACTGACCCAGAGTGGGGGTCACCAGCCTGTCCCCTACCTGCTGTCCCCACTGCTGTGACAGTCACCTCCTCGCTGCCCTTTACACCTGTGTGTGCTGAAAGCCTCCTGCCCTGCTCCAGCGATCACAGAATGCTTTGGGTGGGAAGGAAACTCGAAGCCCATCCAGACCCACCCTCTGCCACGGCAGGAACACCTTCCACTATCCCAGGCTGCTCCAAGCCCCATCCAACCTGGCTCTGGGCACTGCTGGGGAAGTGTTTGGCCTTTGCTGAGCTTCCCAGGCGACATGGACAAAATGATGTGAGAATAAACCCAAAAGCCAGCATGGATAAAGCAGCACTGTTCTCTTGGGTAAGAATAAAACTCAAAATAATGTAAGAAGGGAATAAACCACTTGGCTGGGGTTTTGTTTGACGCGTACCTGTGGAGTGCTGAAATAAATGTTTTTCTAGACCTGTGACATGCTTGGCAATGAGGATGGGAGTGGAAATTCCCCTACAGTTCTGGAAAGGGGGACAGGATCCCTACATGAGCAGCACTCCATGAGGAGCAGCGAGGGACAGGCCAGGACACTCAGGGGGATGTGCACAATGCTGTGCAGCTGAGTCCTTGGGCCTTGGAGGGGAGCACAAAGGGCAGCAGGAGCCAGTCCTGGATCTTGGGTGGTGCTCTTGGTGGCAGCAGATGTGAGGGGGGAACACTCCATGCTCAGGCTCACCTCAGAAACTGCAGAGGACTGGGCTGCCCTGGCTGCTCCTCCTCCCCAAACAGGAGGTCAAGGCAGGACTTGAGGCCCTCCAGGAAGACAAGCTGTCCCCTCTCTTTGGCAGCTGCCAGACTGACACCCTGGAGAGAGGAAAACATTAGGTTTCAGAGCGAACACTTATGGAAAATGGTGCACACAGAATCATGTGGGTCGACAGCCAAATTTTTTCATTCTTATTCAAATCAGATCTTATCTAAATGTGCTGATAAAGTCAGTGCTTCAGGGATGAAATGGGCACTTCTGTCACAGTCACTGGTGGCACATTCGCTCCTCTGTACTTTGCCAGGAGGTAACAAAACCACACTGTGACTTGGGGGCTCAAACATCCTGGAATTCCTTCTGGGAAGCCAGCTTGGTGTGCAGATGCAGGGAGAGAAGGGCCCAGGCTTCTCCAAGGGCCTGCTGTGAGCAATTCCTTCACCTCCCTGCCTGGGTGGTGAAAGCTTTTGTTTTTCATTATCTCCACATCACTGCTGTGGCAATGAGGGCTCCTGGCACAGCCCACGCAGCTGAGGCTGGCACGGCACGGATCCGGAGAGCGCAGTGGCTGCGCATCCCAACACTTGCACAACAGCTGGGAGAGAGCAGCCAGGGCTCCCACGGGAAGCAGCCCTGACTCCACTTGGAGGAGGAGGAACGACCATGACAAACGCCTGGGGCTGCGACTCAAACCAAGCTGGATCAGCCCTGCCTGGTGGTGAGGCCAGTCATGAACCACGTGCTGGCAATGTCCAGCTCCAACAGAGACATCCCACAGCTGCAGCAGACAGCTCCAGCTGGAGATCACGGAATTCTAGAAAGGTTTGGGATGGAGGGATGTTTAAAGATCATCCAGTTCCATCCCTCCACAGGGACACCTTCCACTGGACTAGGCTGTACCAAACCCTGTCAAGGGCTGAAGGAGCTGGAGGGCTCAGCCTGGACAACAGGAGGCTCAGAGGGAACCTTCTCACTCTCCAGTTTATTCTCAAAAAGGGTGGTCAGGCAACACAAAAAGGGGCTGCCAGGGCAACAGCAGAGTCACCATCCCTGGGGGGATTTAAAAGCTTTGCGGATGTGGCACAGAGCTAGTGGTGGCCTTGGCAATGCTGGGGGACAGGTGGACACAATGATCCTTGAGGGCTTGTCCAACCTCAATGATTCCATGATCATGTGTAGTACAATTGTTTCCTGGGGCATTGGACTAGGTGACCTTTTCAGGTGTCTTCCAACCCAAACTATTCCATGATTATCTTCCCAGGGTCAATTTTGCAGCACTATCACTTTGTAACATGAATATTAAGAATAATCTGAGGCCTGACTGAACTCCCATCTGCTGTTCCCTGCTTTAAATGGAAGCTGCTTGGACTCCCAAACCTGTGAATCCTGCTACCTGAGAAAAATGCTTCCTCTATTCTCCTTCTACTCAGCTGGGAAAGAACATATGCCTGAATGCTTATTCCCTCTTCCAACTCCCCCTATAAAGCAATAGATTTTTTTTGGGCACTATCCCTCAGTAACAGCTTCAGAAATAGCAGCATTATTGGGCAATTCCAAGCACACACAATGGAAAACATCCTAGCCAAGGACAGCACCACCTTCATGTGGCAGGTGAGGAGCAGGGAACAGCCAGCAAATAAATACCTGCCATGCTATAAAGAAGGGCTGGGCTGCACAGCAGCCTCACAAACCTCATTCCCTCAGGGATTTCTGCAGTCCACGGGACTGGGAACCTGCTGAAATGCTGTGACTAAGTTCACTATTAATATCAGTAATTCTGCAACTGATTTTACCTTTGCTTCAGCCATTTCTTCCTGCATACACAAACTCTCTGTACCTCAGAAAAGTGTTCCCCCTTTAGAAGGGAACTCAGTGCTGTGACACCAGGGCCTGCCTGGGTGACAGGGAAGGGTCACAGCAGCCAGGGACAGGGTGGCCTGTGTGTCAGACCAGGAATTCAGCCCCCTCAGTGCCGTGGCACGGAGTCAGCAAGTCCAGTCTCATTTTCCAACAAGGGAACACGTCCCAGAGACCTGAACTCAGCCACTGCAGTCACCTGCCACAGCAAACCTCTGCCTGTCTCCCTGCTGGCAGCCCACCCAGCGTGACCTCTGGAAGCATCAGACAGCTTGGAAAAGTGGAAGAAGTGCTCAGAATGGCCAGTGGCACTTTGCTGAGTGCACAGACAGGACTGATGTCCCTGCAGGACTGACATCCTCGCAGCGGAGCCACGGCACTGCCCAGCACCCAAACAGCCCGAAAGCTTTCAGTCTGTGCCAGCATCCCGCTCCATTACCCTGGAGCACAGGGACATTATCTCTGGCACGCTGTCAGCCATCGACCCAGCCCAGGAATGCTCCTGCAGCAGCAGCTCAGCTGCTCCTGTCCCTCTGGGGAGCTGCTGGAGCGTGGTGCCCCCACCCTGCCAGCAGTGACAGCCCCTCAAAGCAGAGCTGCTGCTCACTGCTGGCCATTCCATCCAGGAAAGCAAAATATTTGAGGGACAGAAGAAGGAATGGAGTGTGCAAAGCAAGGGGAATGAGCTCCATCAGCAAACACAGCTGTGGGACAAAGTGTGGCCATCAGTAATCAGGCCAGGCCACATCCACCAGGCTGTCAGCTCAGAGCAGGGGACAGGAGATGGGCATCAAATGGGGACAAATCTGGTTTCCCTGTAAAACAAAACAAACTTTGTACAAGTGAGGGAGGGAACACCAACCTGGCAGGGTGCCCTGGTGCTGTTTGTCCTGATACAGCCCTGCATGTTCTCTACAAGGTCAGAGCCAGGAACATTGAGGGTGCCTTAAAATGAAGTGTGGGTCCTCAGGGAAAGAGGACACAGGCACAAAAAGCCAAGGAAGCTTTTTCCTGCAAGTAAAGATACATCCCTGCATTTAGCTAACACATAAGGAAGTGGTTTGGGACTTGTAACACCTGGCACACTGGGAAAGCAGCAAGTCCCTGGCAGCATCACTTTGCTGTGTATAAATATTCACTTTATCACCACACACCAGTGCTACAAGTGTCACTGTACAATCCACCCTGCCCCAGGAGCCTCCTCCTGGGCCTGGGACTACCCTGCTCCCAACAGAAACCGGGGCACTGCTCAGTTCTGAAGCTCTTCCAAGTGCAGGCTTTCCTAAGGGTATGATCAGAGTCACAGAATCACTGAGGCTGGAAAAGTCGTCTGAGTCCATCCAGTCCAGCCATTCCCCCAGCACTGCCAAGGCCACCACTGACCATGTCCCCAAGTGCCACCACCATAGCGCTTTTAAATCCCTCCAGCAATAGGGACTCCACCACAACCCTGGGCATCTGGGCCAGGGCTGGACAGGCTTTTTGGTGAAGGAATTTTCCCAATATCCAGCCTGTGAACCCTTGAGATCACCTCCTCTTGTCCTGTCCCTGTTCCCTGGAAGCAGAACCCGACCCCCCCGGCTGTCCCCTCGTGTCAGGGAGCTGTGCAGAGCCAGAAATTCCCCCTCAGCCTCATTTTCTGTAGGCTGAGCCCCTTTCCCAGCTCCACCTCAGCTGCTCCAGCCCCTTCCCAGCTCCATTTCCTGGACACGCTCTGTCCTGTACCTGGGGAATGCCAAACTGCCCCCAGGACTGGAGGTGCCTCAGCAGTGCCAGCACAGGGGATGGGAACTGTCCTGGGCCTGTGGCCACACCATTCCTGGTCTCCAGTAAAGATCTACAGTAACAAACTCTTAAACAAATTTAAGAGTGAAACTACCCTGCCAAGAACCACCTTTTCTGAATCTGACGTGTTCATCTGTGCAAAGAAGGATTAAAGCAAAGAGAAGATGTGATGGAAACTCGGATATAAATAACTGATGTTGCGACCTCCAGCTCCTCAGAGCCTGGGAGGAATTCACAGCAACTACCACAGCGGCACCTATGAAGTTGCAATGCAAGAGTGACTCAGAGCTGAAAGCAGCTCAGCGCTTCTCTGAGCTACGCTTATCACCTCCTTTGTGGCAGCCACCTTTTGTTCAAGTATCAGACAGCAAATCGCCCCCATTTGCATTACACGTGTGCTGCAGCTAATCCTCATGTTCTCTCCCTCCTCAGCCTCCCAGCCAGGGACATGTCAGCAGCTCCCATTACACCGGGAAACCTCTGCATTGGGAAACACTGACTTCAGGAGCAGGCAATGGTCCTGTGTTTAACAGCTGCATTTCCTCCCCACACCGGCTGCTGCCCCACTTCCTGCCCCACTCAGCAAGTTCCCTGCACGATTTCCTCCTCTCTGCACCACAGAGGCCAGGACAGCTCGGTGCTCGTGGGGGGTGGTTTGCTCGGCAGGGGAATCACACCTTGAGTGTCCACCTGTGAGTTACAGCTCCGTCGGGGAACACCGTGTTTGCTCAGCCCACCGCATGTAGCCCGGGCCACTGATCTCCTTTCAAAAGGTAGAAACTGAGCAGTAAATAAAATACAGCTGTTTAGCAGCACCATGATGAGAGTGGGGAATACAATACCCAGCACTGGGGAGTCTTTATGAGCAGCAGTGCTGCTGGGATTCACGGCAGAACCAGAGGAGGGAGGACCAGTGCAAGTCTTCATCCCTTCAGCCCTGGAAGGCCACCTGCACTTCCCACCTGGAGCATTTCACCTTGGCGTGTTGTGCAGAGAGCTGAGCGAAGCAGTTCGGAGCTCAGACAATTTGCTGACACGCAGAATTGCTCTGCCTGCTTTGTCTCTCTGTTTCCTCATTTCACAGTACACATAATCCTTGCCCAACTCACCACGGGAAGGAAATCCCTAGGAATTTACCTGTGGCTGCTCACAGAGCTCAAAGGGATGGCTCAGCACAGAAGCCAAACGAGGCACACAGGTGTCCTTGTGACTCAGCCCTCCATCCCCACAGGAACCAGAGGACAGGGGACAAAGTCACCTCGGGAGCTCCTGCAGGTGTGCAGGGGTCCTGGGAACACTGACAGTACAGCATTTTCCTCTCCAGGAGATTAAGGAACCTCCATCTACCAGTCTGGGCCTGTATGGGGAACGCTGATCCCCAGAAAACATTTTTAAGCACAAAGCAAGCAGCTGTCCAGCTCTTGGCAGGGCAGAGCCTGTGGGGCTCTGGGTTTTTGCCCAAAAGTGCTCTTTATCCCCCATCACAGGAGCAGCAGTCCTGACTGTCCCCACCAGGACCTGGAAACATTTCCTCAGACACAGTTCCTGCTCCCCATTCCCATTCCTTCCCACCCAACAGAAGTGGGGTTACCTGGACCTATAATAATGAACCTAGGCCAAGAGACTCACCAGTTTCTGTGCCACGATGTTGTAGTGGCTGAAGGACTGGAGCAGGGCCACAAAGCAAACCTTGCAGCCAGCTGGGGAGGGACAAAAGCACACATTAGCAGTTCCACTTTGCAGCTGACATTATCAAAGCTCATAAATCACAGCAGCCAGGCCACAGGTCTGTCTGGAAGGACCTTGAAGTGATGCAGGTCTAGACAGATCCTCCTCTGCTTTCAGTTTTCACCTTTCTAGAGGACATCTGCATTAGGGAAAATGTTAGTTTAAAAAGAGAGGGAAAGAAGGAAAAAGATGACTTTAAAAAGTGTAAGGCCCCTTTTCTGCCTCATGCCAGGCCAGCCTGGGACCTCCTGGCTGTGTTAGCTGGTGTTACAGTACAGAGGCCAAGGGCCGGCCATGACACTGAACTACTGAAACCACAGACATGCTAAAAATTCCCATTTTGGCTCTCCCAGGGCAAGTGACCTTGACTGGAAAAACACACAGAACAGGGAATTGTGTCAGACACCTAAATAAAATGTGATTTTGGAACACAGTTTGGGTATGAACATTATCAGTGTTTGCTGGACGTGGATTTCAAGTAGAACAAGTCAGCGCCCCCAGATGAACCTTCAGATGTCCCAGAGGTTTTGGGCAGCAAGTGGACAACGTGCAAACAGGGAATAACTGCAGCCAGGTCCTGGGCTGGAGGGGCAGGTGACAGCCAGCACACCTGTCCTGAGACACACACATATCCCACAGATGGCAGGGAAGGCTTTTCCCAGGCACACAGGCAGCTCTGGACAGCGACTCCCAGGGCACTGCTGCAGGACAGGACATCAGCAGAGCCCGAGGCAGTGCCTGGCAGGTCTCTCTGAACCATTCACACCGTTACCAGCCCACTTCCCATGGCATTTCCCTCTGCTCCATTAAGTGACACATTTCCAAGCAGGGTAAAGCCCCAGTTGAGGCAGTGGCAGCTCTGGGGGCAGAATGTCCTCATCCCATGCCCTGCCCAGCACTCTGAGCTCCCTTGCAGGCCTGACAGCACCAGAGTTGCTGGGCTGTGCCAGCAGAAAGCTGGAGGAGCCCCTGAGCCCAGCACCTGCTCCACAGGGGCCAGGAGGTTACTCACAGAAAAACTGTTCCCAGAGAAGTAATTATACACCTTGCCAGGCTCTGTTTGCTTCCTGACTCACTCTGAGCTTATCTGTGGCTAATTGATCCTGATATGTGTAATTACATCATAAAAATGGACGCAGGGAGGGAACTGCAGTGAACACCTCCCTGTCAGAGCCCGTGTGATTTACAACCATAAGCACAATCCATGATGAAACAAGGTGCAGAATTATGGGAGGTATCCAAGAATACAGAGGAGTTCCATGAACAAGTCAGGACTGGGAGCAATAAATCCTAACCCCAAAGCTTTGGGTTTATCCAAGGATACCTCACACTCTGCAAAACCTCCCTCTGCACATGGAGCAACCCTGAGAGAACCTCCGAGATGTCCCTGCCTCTGAGAGTGCTGCTGCTGACCCACCTCTGAGGTAGAAGGAGAGGAAGTGGTGCACCAGGAAGCTGCCATCTGTCCGTGTGTCTCGCAGCAGTGTGAATTTACCCTGGAAAAGAAGCAGCAAAATAACAGAATAAGGTGAGGGCACAAACTGCTCTTGGTAGACAAGATGTTGGCTCAAGCTACAGGAATTCTGCAGGTCCTGCTCAGAGGAAGAAGTGGACAAGCAGACTTCCAGCTGCCTGTCTACAAAGGGAAGCCAACATGTCCTCCAGACACAGCCCACGGGGAGGCATCTAAACCACAGCATCGCTAAGGTTGGAAAAGCCCTCTGAGCCCATCAAGTCCAACCATTAAACCAGTTCAACCACTAACCCAGCACTGCCAAGCTCACCACTGAACCCTGTCCCCACATGCCCACCAGCTAAAAACCCTTGTGCTCAACTGTGAGCCCAGCTGGACCCTCACGTCTGTGCCCACCCCCTCCCCTGGCAATAACAGACATGCAGCACGGTTCCAGTGACGCCACATCCGGAGCCTCTGCTGCTGGACTCTGTCAGGGGGTTCTGGGCAGTTTCCACCTCCCAGCTCTGTGCCCCTCTCCTCCAATTCCCAGGGATCTTTCTTCTCCAAGCAGCAAGGGAACAAGAGCCACTACTCCATTCCCAGCCCATTCTCCCCCTGCCACAGCCAGCATTGCCAGTGTGTTTAAAATGTCAGCACTGCTAGAGCTGCTGTTCCTCCTGTGCCCAAACAGCCCTCCCTGTCCTCCCTTCCACGTTTACTTCCAACATGCCACCTTTGGGCTAGAAAACCTTATCACCAAAATGCTGTAGTGCAGCAGAGCTCCCAGCACAAGGTATAAACCTTGTTTTGATCAGGCAGGAAAGCAATTCTGTTCATCAGTGCACACTCATTAGCCCCAGCCTCATCAATGTGTTTGTTTCCATTAAAATCTTAGTCAGGATGTTTCTTTAATCAATACACATCATAGATGAGCTGCTTGGAAACACAAAGAACTTATCAAAGTGGGAGTTTTTCTACTCCTAAGAACAGAAAAACCTTTTGCAGCAACAAGCCATCTCTGCACAGCCAATTCCCAAGCCATCCATCAGAACAAACTCCCCGGTGCCTACAGCCTAAAGCGGAGCGAATGGAATGGCAAATATTGAACATGAACATTCCCTCTGCAGGGAATGCGAAGCAGAGACCAGGGCAGAGAAGCTGTTCTCCCCCAGCCAGAGTGGGAGCTCTTGCCCCCAAAGAAGGGTTATGCCTCAATGGCCACTGCAGTGACAGGGACACTGCCCCAAGACATGTCCTCCATGGATGGGCCTGGAGGAAACTTGTGCTCAAACAGCACAAACCCAGACGTTCAGGGGTTTATCTTCTGCCACTCCATCTCCTTCAGCTCCCCTCTTCCCCAGGAGAGGTCTGAGAAGAGCAGGCCAAGCAGTCCCCGTGTGCCCTCCCTGCCGGCTGGCTCCCACAGGCTGTGCTGGCACGGTGGCATTTGTCACTCCGAGCACACGGCACCTTGCCGTCCCAAAGGCAAAGCCTTCCTGCAGAACCTTCTCCATGAATCCCAGCCTGCTCTGTCCAGGCTCTGCCCTCACACTCTCAGTACCTGCAGGCCACGAGGCAGAAACTGCAGCTGTGTGTTAGGAACTGCCAAAACCCCTCTGCGGGGTAGCAGTGGGTGACACTGGCAGCAGCTCCTTCCCCCCAGCAGCGCTGGGAAAGGGGCAGGGCCCGGCCTGGGAAGGAGAGGGCTGCCAAGCGCTGATGCTGTCACACAGCGGGACACCGAGCCTGGGGATCCAGCACATTCCAGGGACTGGCTGTGCACAGGGATCGGCTGCACACACACATACTCATCATTTATTACAGCTAAAGCACATTTCACACCCCGACTACTGCAGGGTCTGCAGTCCCCCCGCTGCGGCACCGGGAACTCGCTGGGCAGCCAGCCACACCACAGTGACACCTGGACAAGGGAACCTGCACCGTGCGCTGGGATGGGAAGAGCCCACTCAATCCAAGGGAATTCATCACACAGAGGAGGTCTTGGTCGGCTCCTGCTCTGGCTGCCAAGTCCAAACCCAGGATCTTGAGGCCAAATCTTTTGGTTTTGCTCTGTGAAATTTCCTGTTCGCCTCAAGGCGAGCTCCTTGCCTCAGAACCAAGTTCATGGATGAGCACATTCCCACTCATCCCACAGCTCCACCACCAAACACACCTTAGAGAACAGGCTGACAAACTCCACCAAGCATTTCTCAGTGCTTCATGAGCATCAAAAACCCAACATCAACCCACAGGAACCACAGGGCTTTGGGACTTTGCACACTCAGACTATCCCTTACTACCACCTCAGCCTCAGCCAACATCTCCCCCGGATCTGCTTGGAGCCTCAAGGGCATCATCCCAAATTCTCATCAGTATTGTTTCCCCATCAGACCAGCACTGTCCCACTCCAGCCTGCCTGACAAGGAATGACCTCAGAAATATCTTCCAGATCAAGGAGAAACCTCCCCTATTCCCATCACAAGCTGGTATTAGGGCATGGGGAGAAACTGGAGACAAAGGGGGAAACTCAGACTTATAAAACAAATTATCACCCCAAACTTGCTTTTATTATCTAAGCTTATAACTCTCAGGAAAAACATGGAGTAACATGCAGCACGTGGACAATTTATTAATAATTACTGATGACACCGAGTTGGTGCTGTGGCCAGAGGGAGAGGAAGGGGCATCCAGAGGGACCTGGAGAAATTGATCAAAAGGGTCCATGGGAACCTCATGAGGTTCAACAATGCCAAGTGCAAGGTGCTGCACCCAGGTCAGGACAATCCCCAGAACCAGCAAAGGCTGGGGGATGGAGGGATGGAGGGATGGATAACAGCCAAGCTGCTCCAGGGCTGGAGCCCCTCTGCTCTGGAGCCAGGCTGGGAGAGCTGGGAATGTTCCCCTGGAGAGGAGAAGCTCCAGGGAGAGCTCAGAGCCCCTTGCAGGGCCTGAAGGGGCTCCAGGAGAGCTGGAGAGGGACTGGGGACAAGGGATGGAGGGACAGGACACAGGGAATGGCTCCCAGTGCCAGAGGGCAGGGCTGGATGGGATTCTGGGCAGGAATTGTTCCCTGGCAGGGTGGGCAGGCCCTGGCACAGGGTGCCCAGAGCAGCTGTGGCTGCCCCTGGATCCCTGACAGTGCCCAGGGCCAGGCTGGACATTGGGGCTGGGAACACTCCGGGAAGATGGAAGGTGTCCCTGCCCTGGACAGGAGATGGGACCGGATCAGCTTCAAGGATCCTTTCAGCCCAAACCACTCTGGGATTCCATGAGTAACATTTTACCTGCACAGCTCTCACAGAGAGCGAGAGTGTTTAGTGAAGCGTGACCTCATTAATACAAAACCTCCCTGGAAAAACTGCATTAATTAATTTAGTGCCTTAAATAAAAAGTATCTCTAGAACATCTCCCCGGCCCGGAGCAGTGTCCTCCAGCGGGCTTAACACCCAGTTCTGTGTTCATTCCCCGCAGGGCAGCACGCACGCACGGACACACCGCGGGAACAGAGCTCGGCCGCTTCTCAGCGGCGGATACCGAAGCCAGAGCCGTGAGGGACGGCGAGGAGCCGGGAACGAGCGAGGGAAGGGCCGAAGGCGGCTCGGCTCCGGGACCGGCCATCGCCACCTCCGCCTGCGGAGGCCGTGCCCCTCCCAGCGTGCCCCGCCGCTCCCGGCGGCCCCGGCCCGTCCCTCCCGCCCTCTCAGCGCCCTCTCAGCGCCCTCTCACCGCGTCCGGGCGCTCCGGGGAGGCCCCGAGCAGCTCGTTCAGCTCCGCGAACATGGCGGGCGGCGCTGAGGGGCCACGAAGGGCGGGAAGCGCCACTGGGCCGCGCATGCGCCGGGCGGGTGGCGCCGCCTGCTGGTGGGGCGGGGTGGTGCCGGAGCCGCCATTGCCGCGTGAGGGGAGCCGCAATTAGCGGGGCCGGATCGGCAATTAACGAGGCTGGATAGCCAATTAGCGGGGCTGGATCGGCAATTAGCGGGGCTGGGTCACTCATTAATAGGTTTAGATCACAAATTATGGGGCTGGATCGCTCATTAAGGGAGCTGGAGCGCCAGTTAACGGCACTGGATCCGCACCCCACTGTCAGTTAAAGCGGCTGGATCCTCACCCGTGTGGTTAATTAAAGTGTTAAATGGGATTGGATCTACGTCCCATCATAATTAATGGAACTAGATCCACATCCCATCATAATTAATGGGGCTGGATCCCCATCCCATCACAGTTCACGGGGCTGTGTCCCCATCCCATCCCAGTTCACGGGGCTGTGTCCCCATCCCATCCCAGTTCACGGGGCTGTGTCCCCATCCCATCCCAGTTCATGGAAATGTGTCCCCATCCCATCACAGTTCACGGGGCTGTGTCCCCATCCCATCACAGTTCATGGAGCTGTGTCCCCATCCCATCACAGTTCACGGGGCTGTGTCCCCATCCCATCCCAGTTCATGGAAATGTGTCCCCATCTCATCACAGTTCATGGAAATGTGTCCCCATCCCATAACAGTTCATGGGGCTGTGTCCCCATCCCATCACAGTTCATGGAAATGTGTCCCCATCCCATCACAGTTCATGGAGCTGTGTCCCCATCCCATCCCAGTTCATGGAAATGTGTCCCCATCCCATCCCAGTTCATGGAAATGTGTCCCCATCCCATCACAGTTCATGGAGCTGTGTCCCCATCCCATCACAGTTCACGGGGCTGTGTCCCCATCCCATCCCAGTTCACGGGGCTGGCTCCTCACCCCGATGTTCACGAAGGTGCAGACAGGCTGGATCCTGGTGCCACCGGTCCCACTGAGCCCTGGTCCCAGGGTGCCACCTGCCCTTTTGCAAACCCCTGCGCTTCTGTGGCAGATTTCACACATCTGGGAAACATCTGGGACACTTGGGGACACAGGGATATTTGGAGGGGTCTGTAACTCTCTCACTGTTTCCTGGTTCATTATCAGTTTGGGAAGTGCTGAACATCCATTGGGCACCTAAAAACGATCTGCAGTGACAGCAAATTTACAGCCCATAACCACCAAAACCCGAATTCCTTGGTGTCACTTTTTGCCTCGAGCCTGAATTTGAGGTTTTTGACACTTAATTCACCTTTCCATTTGCTCCAGCAAACCTTTTGTAACAGTTTGAATTTCATCATGGAAGCAGGGATTGCCCTGCTGAGGGGAATTGTTCTGGAGATGGAGAGAAGGTTCTGGAGGCAGGGATGTGCCAGGGGAGATGGAGAGAAGGTTCTGGAGGCAGGGATGTGCCAGGGGAGATGGAGAGAAGGTTCTGGAGGCAGGGATGTGCCAGGGGAGATGG